TTGCCTGCCTCCCTCCCGATCGGGCGTATGCTCATACAAGATGGGAATAGGAAGAAAATTCCAAATCTCTAGTCCTAGCCAGCTGAAGATATGACATCACAATAGTGTTAGAATATGGACTATTAGTTTTCAATTTCCATCTTCTGATCTTAATGTCAGTGAGCTTCATTGACTAAAATGATTTTTAAAAAGGAATCAACATGGGCCTAAAATGGCTACAGTGGTTACCTGACCATAGGTTGAAGCAGTGTGCAATATAAACTGAATTGTCTTCACTGAAATTACCATTTTATTGCAAATTGAAACCAGTCAACTGACTTGGGCAGCAAGAGGTTTTATTTCCTGTTTTAATTTTAACTTGGGGGAATTGATGGTTAATGATTCCCCTTTTAGCATTGTTTTGCTTTACTGTCATTGAGTTATGAGGATGGAAAATCTCATTGTGTGTTGCAAAATTCAAATTGACTGCAGTACATTACCTGGGCCAATTTGACACCATTTTGATGCAAGTACAAGTAAAGCAAAATACTGCAGATGCTGGAAATCTGAAACAAAAACTGAGTGGTGGAGAAAGTCAGCAAATCTGTCAGCATTGTGGAGACAGAAATAGAGTTAATGGCTCTGAAGTAGAGTCATATCAGATCTGACATGTTAACTCTGTTTCTGGCTCCACAGTTGCTGCCTGTCCTGAGTTTTTCCACCGTTTTCTGTGTGTTGGCATGACCTCTCCCTCTCTTACATTTTTGGGTCACTCCCAACCTTCCCACTTGTGGATTATTCCTGTGCCAAACCACTGCCCAAGGTATGACATGGAAGACCCCACCTACCAGCCCCCACACTGTCACCACTCACCCTTGGTCTAACAGAATGTACGAATACACTCCCCTTCCACCCCATCCTCACCACCACCCCCTGCCGCCCCACCAGACTAGGAGAAGCTGGAAGCTTCCCCAGGTGTCCATCCCCACACACCCCAGCCTACCATTTGAGATGCAGACTGTGATCCAGCTCAGCAGTTGCCACTCGGTAAGGACATTACAGTACTTGTGCCCCTTCGACCTTGCAAGATGAGTTGGAAGAGGGTGGCTGCCGCAGCCAACAGAAAAGCACAAGGGAGCCACCGGACATCACTCAAACCAGAGTGGCTGTGACCCCAGCACAGGCACTGTGCTGCCACAGTGTGTTAGTTACCCCAGGAGCACTGGCCATTATCACAGAGAGAGGGAGGGTTGAGGAAGGAAGGAAATACTAGTGAGCCCAGCCACAACTGAAACAGTGCTGATCATGGAAAGGAGGGTGAAGGGGAAGGAAGACTAAGGTCAGTAGCTAGCCAAGAGGAGCAGTCCCACTGAGTAATGCCCTGAGCAGCCCTCAATGGTGGCATGGCCACCAAAAAGTAGCATCATGAATACCCAAAAAAGACAACAGGAGGTGGGCATGATGCAGCTTGCAACAAGCAACAGTCTCGGCACGTGGCTGAAAGTCCACTGAGCTAAGGTCCCCAACCCCCTGCTCCAGTCTGGGAGGATCCACTAAAGGAACTGCTGTAAGTAGAATATTGCATTTTACTGTTATATTTTTACACTTGTTTCATTTTTAACAATGTCATCTACCAATGTAGGAATTCAGTCTTTTACATTACAGGTAATACTAATCTCAGCTTGGAGGGTACATGTACAATGTTGTGATAAGGAAAGCAAAGATCTTTTCACTTTAAAGTTGTGATTTTGAGGAACACAGCCTCAATTTCAAGAGGGCACTCTGTACTTCTCCTGAAAGAGTTGTTTGCAACTATCCAGCTTGGAAAGTTAATGGAGCAAACTTGGGAATATATAAATGAGCTATATTCCAGTAATTACCTGGCAGAGCAGCTGGAAGAGAAAGAAAGGAAATGATTGGTAATTGCAAGGACTGGCAGGCTCTCTCTTTCTCACTCCCTATTTCCTTCTGAACACCTCAAAAGCTAGCACCAGTAATGAAACAAGTTGGAGGAAAATCTATTCGAGAGCCCAAGGATTGTACAGATTCTACGTCAACTAAGCAAACTCAGGTTCAACTATAACAACTCAAGGATTCTAAGAAAACTATTTAAACTGCCGTTTTGTGATCTTCCTTTTTGTATTTGCCACTCTCCCCTTCTTGAGCTGTATACCTGTGTTTGTGTGTGCTGGATGTTACATTTTATATCATTCTCCATATCGTAGGAATTAATATTCCTCTTTCTTTCACTCAAGAAATCTTGCAATTGGCCCCTTTTAATTCTAATCTGATTGCTAAGTTTTAATTCAAGTGTGAGATAGCTGCGTGCTAGGAGAAAAATAAAAATCTTTGTGGCTAGCTCAGGGGGATAGAAAGAAAGGAGCTGACTGAACCCCACGCTGCCCTCACCAGGTTGCCATAATGGCCACCTATGTTAGTGTATTAAAATTGAAATTGCACAAGGGACCAGAATTGGATGAACACAGATGTTTTGGAAGTTTGTGGGACTGGAGAAGGTACAGGGATAGGGAGGGATGAGACCATGGACAAATTTAATGATTATGAAACTTCAAAATGAAATTGTTACTTAACTAAATCTTCTAAGCTGGCAGTCATCCAAAGATTTGTCATTAGATGAAACAGTTGTGTATGATAAGAATTCAAATTAGGGTTGTCCTCCTTTAAAGTATACACTTTTGACGCTGTGAATGAGATTGTACATGAGCAAGAAAGAAATGCATTGTATCTCTGGTGCAGTAATAAAAATCATCACACTGCACTTTCAAAATTATGGCTATCGCATAAAATCAAGTGCTCATCTCCTCATTTAGTGGGAGTGCAATAACACTCCAGCATGCTTCAGAGAACTAATTAGAACAAATATTTTGTAGTATATATACTAACCCATGAAGCGGTAAATTTACTCTGCATTATGAGGCATGCATACATTTTTCATCTGCTGTAGCAACCATGTTTGGATGAGTTATGTTAACAGCCTGAACTCCCAAAATTTACAAGTACACAATATGATGCAATATTGTATTTCAGTACTTCTATATTGGGAACGTTAATTTTTCATTTGTATAACTCCAGTCATTGAGATTCTAGTCCTGTAATGATCATTATTTGAAAAGTAAAGTTGTAGTTGATAACCTTTTTGTAGAATGTCTCTGTATTCCAGTACATCTGAATATGACAAACAGATTTTTAAATTTAATGGTTTCATTGACTCATTTGTATTCAAATTAATACCGGAGTTGTATTACTAGATATGTCTAGGATAGGATTACCAAATGTGTTGCTAGATATTACAGTACAGTCTTTGTTGTTTTCCTGGGTGGTGGATATGGATGGGGAATTGAGTCATCTTGTATCTTTTGATATGGTCAACTGGCATCACCTACTGAGAGTTTCATGCAAATCAATGTTTTATAACAAGTGTGTTCTGTGGTATTCAGAATGAATAAAAATTTATGAGTTTCTGAAGTGTTGCCTAGTAATTGTTTATTACTTTTCTGTAAGATAAAATCCAGATCAATGATAGAGAATGCTGGTCTATGATTAAGGTGCTCATAAATGGCTTTGCACAGACATCAAAAAGAGGTCTTTATTATAATGGTTTAAACTGTGAGTTGAATGATCAAGCAGAGCTATGGCTGAAACGTGGTTCAGTTAGCAGTGAGGGAAGGCTGCCATTTCGAAAGAAAAGTAAGTTGTTAGTGTCAACATGTGCATTTTTAAAAATATTTTTGACCTAAGTGTCTCAGCGCATCCTGTGCTGAATTCTATTCTATAAATAAATGCGTACACAACATAATGGCTTATATTTAAAAAACACTGAACTATCTGAGAACAGTTTTGTTTTGATATTGATTTGCAACTGAGACACCACTTACATGGGTAGGACTGCTGAAATAAAAGTTAATTTTATTTTAAAGTAGTTGCTCATCTCTGAATACCACTGCTCATCATGTTTGCCTTCTGGTCCCTCCAAAGAAGTATTGAATCTTTCAGCAAATTCGATTGATCTTTTAGCAGTGTAATCACAATTACTCACCTCCTTAATTGGCCTGCCAGAAATCAGAAAATGGAAACTGATCGGTTGTGTGTTCTGATCAATAGTTTTAGAGCAATACTAGCAGGGGCAGGGGAGATGGAGGTTATAGTGAGATCAATTGGCCTGGGGTGTCAATCATTGTGTGTGGCTTTGCATGACAATCACTTTGCCTGACTGCAGTGGATCTCCAGCTTTGTGGTACAGTTGAGAACTCGGAAAAAATTATGGTTGCTCCAGAATGTCATAGCATATTTTGTGTATATTACAGTTATGAAAATGTTAACTGAATGTGAAACAATTGGTTATTTATTACAATCAGAATTGCACATGAAACGTTGATCTATAATACTGTCCGAATTCAGTGGAGGTTACGACAGGACTGACATTGGTGAGGCTCACCAATGGATCACTGAGTTCATCCAATGCGTAACTGATGCATAAAGCTAAGGAATATGTCTACTTCAATTTTTGGTATGCCTTGAGTCAGTTGATTAGGGAAGGAAGAATCTGCCCAGTGCCCATGCTGCTTGCTTTATATGAACTCTCACTAAAAACGTTGATTGAAGGTGTGATTTTATTCAAATTCCCTTTTCATCTTCCCCTCCATTCCCCAATTCCCAGCACTTGATGATAAAATCAGACAGAATCAGTAGTTTCTTGGGAAAAGTGTTTGCGAATGACCCTTGTCCGTGGTAATCTTCCTCAGCAATAGACCCATTTCACATGGGAGGAGCATAAAATTGCCAAGAGAAAAATAAAAATATATATCATTGAAAATATGATTAATATAAAATAAAGTTTTGGATATTTCAATGTAAATGCCAAAAAATACATAGCCAAGTGTGTTTTTCCAGTCAAAATGAAAATTATGACAAAATTGAGCCAGTCCCAACTTAAGATATCAGCATGTACTGCACATATTAACTTTGATTCATAAGTCTTCAATTTTGTAAATGTTTTGCAGCACGTGCAATGATCATTTCAATGTCACTGTCCAACCTCCAGTGGGAGAGCTGCTTCTGCCAGTCGCCACATCTGAAAAGGATTTCAAGAAAGAGCAAGGTGAGGAATGAGCTATTTCATTTTATGATCTTCAAGGAATGTAGGTTTTGCATTATTTTAGATCTGCATCCTCTTCTAAGATAAAATGAAACTTTGAAATGCTGTTCTACTCTGATTCAGTGAGAGAAGCCGAGTATTAATTTGGTATATCTCCCCAACTGGTTCCCTACATTGAAATCATTCCTCAGTAAATTGTTGAAATATTTTGGGGGTGTGTGTGTGTGTGTGTGCACGCACACATGAAGTGGGAGGCAATGTCTGAAGTTGTTCATTGGTGGAAACATTGAGCAAGTTAGGCAGATCCCTGAGGAAAGCCATTGAATTAATATTTTTGACATAGTTCTGATAATGAGAGGTACTGCCTGAAACACTAGCAAAGCTAAATATGGGAAGTGCAGAGATTTCAGTTGGGAAAAAGAAATACTGCAGAATATGTGAATAGTTTAATGACAAGCTTATAAGAGAACATAAGGCTTTTCATAAGCGTGTGGTAAAAGGATAGTTGAAGGAAGAGTAGGACAGGTTGGTACCGAAGACATTAACCTAGTGGAGGCAGAGGACGTGGCTGAGGTATTTTGCATCCATCTTTGTTAGAGAAGAGGATGCTGCAAATAAAGTAGTAATGGAGGAGGTGGTAGCAATATTGAGTAAGTTGAAAATATAGGATATTCTTATTGTTAGCAGACCTCCAAAAAAGAGAACTCATTGGGTCTAATGGGATAAATTGCTCAGGAAAATAAAGATATAAATTATGGCGCGTCTGGCCATGATCTTTCAACCTAACTAGGATACAGGAATGGTGTCAGAGGAATGAAAAAATATTGGAGCCCCTTTTTTTAAGGAAGGATGGAGGGATAAACTTTGCAACTACAGCCTGCTAGTCTAACATCACCACCGGTGGAGAGAGCCCTGAGAGGCAACCAGAGACAAAATAAGTTGACATTTAGAATATTGTGGGCTAATAACAAAGCCAGAATGAATTTGTTTAAGATAAATTGTGTTCAATTTCCAAATTCAGTTCTTTGAAGTAACAAATGCTTGAAGTTAGTGCAGTTGATGGATGGACTCTGATACATGGACTTTCAAAAGTCATTCAATAAAATATGAAACAATAGATATGTTAACAAAATAGAAGGCCATGGGATTAATAACCCTGTAGTAGGATGGGATATAAAATTGGTTTAGGGACAGAAGGAATAGTTGCTTTTCGCACCAGTGGCAAGTGTACAGTGGTGTCTTGCAGGGAACATTGTTAGGTTTATGCTGTTTTTGATAAATAATATTGACCTAGATTTATACATAGGCTATAAGGCCCAGAAACAGGCCATTTGGCTTAACTGTCCATTTCAGTGTTTATGCTCCATTTGAACTTCTACCAGAGCAACTTAGCTGCAGATCTCATTAAAACCCCAGTCCAAACATGGACAAAACAGCTCAAATTCGGAGATGAGTTGAAAGTGGCATCAAGGCAACATTTCGTAGTGTGGAATTGAGAAGAGAATTGGGGGCAGTGCACTCCATTAGTTGGAGTTATTCAGAGGACAGTGGAAGTTGTTGTTGTTGGAGGTCAGTCATCTCAGATCCTGGACATCTTTGCAGGAGTTCTTCAAAGTAGTGTCTTTTGCCCAGCTATCTTCAGCTGCTTTATCATTGATCTTCCCACCTTCATAAGGCCAGAGTAGGGATGTTTGCTAATGATTACACAATTTCAATGTTATTCATGACTGCCCTGAGACAGAGGTGGTTTGTTACCATGATTGGCAAGGCCTGGAAAACATTGAGGCCTTGGCTGGTAGGTGGCAAGTAATATTCATGCCATGCAAGTGCTGGACAATGACCATCTCCAACAAGAGAGAATCTAACTATCACCCCTTGACATTTAATAGTACTACCTTTGCTGAAGCTCCCACTATCAACATCCCAATGATTACCATTGACTAGAAATTGAACTGGACCAGCCAAATAAATGCTGCAATTGCAAGTCCAGATCGGAGGCTGGGAATTCTGCTGGGGTAACTAGCTGACACCTTTATTGTCTACCATTTACAAGGAACAAGTCAGGGGTCTGATGGAATATTTTCCATTTGCCAATCAGTGCAAATCCAACAATATTTGAGCTCAGTACCATCCATGGCACTAAAGCCTTCTTGATTAGCAGTGAAAATATTCATTTCCTTCATCACCAGTACAGAGTGACAATGTCTTCTGTCTATAAGATGCACTACAGCAACTCATTAAAACTTTTGTGACTGCACCCTTTGATTTCCAACCATTACCACCTGGAAGAACAATGGCTGCAAATACATGAAAACACTAAAGCCTGTAAGTTCCACTGCAAGCCTCAATCTTTTCTAGATTTAGAACTATATCACCATTCCTTTACTGACACTTGCTCAAACCCCTGGAACTCCTTCCTAACAGCATTGTCAATGTACTTGCATTACATCGGTTCAAGGAGGCAGTTCACCACCATCTTCTCAATTGGTGAGGGATGGGCAACAAAAGTAACCTAGCCAGCGACACACACATCCTGTGAAAGAACTTTAAAGAATTATTGATGACCTGTTACCCACAAGAGAAACGATTCTTTCTGTCCACTTTTTATACTTTTAAAGGTGTCTATTAGGTCACCCATAATTCGTCTGTTTTCAAGAGAGAAGAGAGCCATCATGGCAGTGCATTCTTGATGTTGATATCCATATTTCTGGTATAATCCTTGCAATTTTCAATGCCTTAAATTGTTTTGTATAATATGGCAAGAAGAACTGCACACTCCCCACTCTAAGGTGATCCAACCAGGATTCGATGAATATACAGTTCAACATTTCAAAGTTTGTAAATTGTAGAAAACTTGGAAATATAGCAGTCAACATAGAAATGAATAGTAACAGACCTTAGGAAGATATGTCCAGATTGGTAAAATATGCAGTCACATGGCATATTAAGGAGCAAATTACTGCAGATGCTCACATCAGCTCTGATGAAGAGCCATCTATACTCAACATGAGCTTGCTCTCTTTATGGATGCTGCCTGAGCCGCTGTGATTTCCAGCAATTTTTGTTTTCATGGCAGATTAAATTTAATAGAGATAAGTGCAAAGTGATATATTTTGGTAGGAAAAATAAGGAAAGCCAACATGAACTAAATAGTATAATTTAAAAAGGCTGCACTAACAGAAATCAGCAGAACATACCAGAAAAATTTGAGAATGTGTGAAAGCTTTTGAAAATGTACAGTGGATCCTTGGCTTTCTTAATGGAGGGAGAGTACAAAAGCAAGGAAATCTTCACTGGTGTATTGTGTTCCATTCTGGCATCACATCTGAGGAAGAATGTCAAAGGTTTGGCAAAGGTTGAAGAAGAATCCTAGGAATGCTGCTAAGGATGAAGTGCCTTCATTTAAAGCGGAGAAACTGCAATTGTTCAAATGCAGGACAATAGGCAAAAGTGATAGATATGAAGGAAGAGATCACCAAAGACCTTAAATGTAAGATGATTAGCTGATGTACCAGAGACGATATAAGCATTTTTTACACAGGTGGTTGTGATCTGGGGTAAATTAGCTTAAAAGTGGTGGAAGCAGACTCAATAGTAATATTTAAAGAACAACTTAGTTACAAGAGCTGTGGAGAAAGAGTGATCAAGTGGAATTGATTTACTGGCCTTATCGTGCTCAGCACTGCAAGTTGAAAATGAGAATCAAGCTAGCATGTGAGGCAATAAGCATACTCTAACTGTCTTTACTGACACTGGCCATATCACATCAACCTTTTGGATATTCAACAGACATAGCAGTAGAGTACAAAATTCTACATTTCATATCTTGTCGGTCATTTTCAAGCACTGGGTGCAGTCAGGCAGCGAAAACTCCTGTACCTTGTATTATGATCCCATCTCCGGTATTACTGGAAAGGTCAGGTCCCAGAGTGAAACCTGGCTTGATGGACCATAGATTTTACGTTCGCGATTATAACTTCAGTGGTGGCCAATCACTGAACATATTGACGAGGCTCCAAAGTGCCTCAAACATAACAGCCAAGTTTATTATACACAAACGATTTTTGCACTATGTAAGAACTGGTTTTGGATAGTTTCATTATGAATATCAGAAATAAAGTTTGAACCCTTTTACTCTCCTCCATACAAATACTGAAACCACAGCGAGAGTCATCTGTTTCCACTTTAAAGATGTTTTTCAGTTGGCACAGCAGTATTTCATTTCTTTCTAACGAACTTCTACATTCTCTGTGCTAGTTAATCATCCTTCCTGAAACCCTTAAACCGCTAAGAGTTCACTTATTTCTTTTAACACAGATTCCTTGAACTTCTTACCCAATTCCTTCAACAGCCTTCTGTTTCTCAAACTTTTTGTGACTAACATTAAAACACCCGGAACTACTTTCCTCCTGCCCTGATTGGAAGCTGCTAAACTGCACGTGTTTTTTTGCTCCCTGAATGCCTTATTTCTTTCCTTCTGAAAGAAATCTGAACGCTCTCTCTCTCACCTTCTGAATGGTCCTTCCTTTGTAAAGGATTGGTTTTGTATTCTCACTCTTATACAAGCCATAGTATACATGCTGCCAGGCAACCGTTTCAACTTTTTCTCAATTCTCTACTCTGCTTTCTAAAACACTGAACTGGTCACCTCAAGGGGATGTATAAAAGCCTCATTTAAGTGCATGTTCTCAGAACTAAAATATAATTAAATCCTTCCCTCCTTAACCACACAACATAGAATTTGAAGCTCAATACTTATTGAGTACTTAATAAAATTATCCTGCTATTCACTTTAGAAACCAAGTTTGCAAACAACAGCAATAGCATAGCAGGTGCAGTGAATGTTCATGACTTGAGTATAGTATAGTACTTTATTTCTTTTTATTGATGATTAGGATACATGGCTTCTGGAACAAATTGATCAGAGCCAGAAGGTAGGCGATATTCCTCAGATCACCAGCTTTAAATATTTCAGCACTGCATTTTGGCACCTGATGTAGTAT